ATTTTTCACACTAGGTTAGACAAGTCACTTACCTCGACTTGCTCCAATTTAATCAAGTAGTATACTTTTTCCTCGATTTTCGGACTCCGATCGACTCGAATCTAGTCATAATTAATTTGATATAGTCAACAAAAACTATAGAATGAATTCCATAAGAAAATACTACATTTTTCAATAACAATCCGAAATTAACTCAAAAATCGCACGTGTGGCCCACATCTCAGAATCCGGCGAAACTCACAAAATCCGACAACCCATTCAATTACGAGTCCAACCATACCAGTTTCACTCAAACCCGACTCTGAATCGACACCGAAATCACAAAAATTCGTTTCTATGAGGTTTCTAAAAATATTCCAAATTTCAATCTCAAAACATTAATTAAATGGTGAAAACAATGATATATTCGTGTATATTGACCAAATCCGAGTTAGAATCACTTACCCCAATATTTATTCTTAAAATTCTATCAAAAATCGCCTCTACTCAAGTTTCAATTTGTCAAAAATGGCGAATGGGACGAAGTCCCTTCTCTTATAATTCTGCCCAGACAGGCCTCGATCCTGGGCCTCGATCGTGGCTTCGATCATGGCCCTAGAGCTTTGTCTTCGATCATGGACCTCGAGCATGGGCCTTCGATCATGGCCCTCGAGTCTTGCCTTCGATCATGGGCTCGATTTCTGGGCAAAAGAGAATTTTTTGCAGCAGCTGTTTAAGTCTCACTTTTTGATCCGTTAACCATCCGAAACTCACCTGAGGCCCTCGGGACCTCAACCAAATACATCAACAAGTCCTAAAATATCATACGAACTTATTTGAAACCTCAAATCACGTCAAACAACGCTAAAATCATAAATCACACCCCAATTCAAGCTTAATGAAACTTAAGAATTTTCAACTTCTACATACGACGCCGGAACCTGTCAAATCAAGTCCGATTGAACTCAAATTTTGCACACAAGTCAAAAATGGCATAACTGAGCTATAAAAATTTACGGAACTGGATTCCGACCCCAATATCAAAAAGTCAACTCCTCGATCAAACTTCCAAACTTAAATTCCTATTTTAGTCATTTCAAGCCTGATTTCACTATGGACTTCCAAATAAAATTTCGATCACGCTCCTAAGTCCAAAAATCCCCATACAGAGCTGTTGGAATTATCAAAATTATATTACGAGGTCGTTTACACATAGGTCGACATCTAGCCGACCTTTTCAACTTAAGTTTTAAACTTTGGAACTAAGTGTTCCAATTCATTCTAAAAACCTCAGCGGATCCGAACCGACTACCCAGCAAGTTACATAACGGTTATAAAGTATAGAATGAGCAGTGAAGAGGAGAATGGTGCTATAACTTTTAAAACGACTGGTCGGATCGTTAGAACTTTGCAAAAAAGTTTGCAAACGTACCCATTTTACGATCAACTTTAGACTTATCGGATATGAAGTAAAACAATTAGTCTAAAGTGAAATAATTACACTTTAAATGCACTTAAGGCCAAATAGATCTGAAGTGTAACGAATGATTTCATGCACTTAAGGCTAATAAGTTTGAAGTGAAAAATTACACTTTAGATACACTTAAGTCCAATAAGTTTGAAGTGAAAATTTGCACTTCATATGCACTTAAGGGCAAATAGATCTGAAATGTAACCAATGATTTCATGCACTTAAGGCAAATAAGTGTGAGGTGAAAAAATTGCACTTCAGATACACTTAAGGCCAAAAGGTCTGAAGTGCAACAAATATTTTGCTATACCTAAGGCCAATAAGTGTGAAGTGAAAAAATTGCACTTGAGATGCACTTAAGGCTAAAAGGTCTAAAGTATAACAAATATTTTGCTACACTTAAGGCCAATAAGTCTGAAGTAAAAAATTACACTTCAGATGTACTTAAGGCCAAAAGGTCTGAAGTGCAACAAACATTTTGCTACACTTAAGGCCAATAAGTCTGAAGTAAAAAATTACACTTCAGATGTACTTAAGGCCAAAAGGTCTGAAGTGCAACAAACATTTTGCTACACTTAAGGCCAATAAGTCTGAAGTGAAAAATTGCACTTCAGATGCACTTAAGACCAAAAGGTTTGAAGTGCAACCAATATTTTTATGCACTTAAGGCCAAATATGCCTGAAGTGCATATTGCTTGGAAACAGAAATTTGTTCTTCGAATTATAACAATCCAATATACGATTTAATAATTAAATCTACTCCAAATGAGCTCAAATTTGAAACATAACCTCCAAATATCATCAGTAACAAACCTTAATCATCAATTTGTCAAAACAACAATAACTCTAATGAACCCATTTTACAATTAAGAAGAAAAAAAACTAAGCAATAGTAAAAAATAAAACGTCATAACAGCTCACCCTAGTAAAACATCATAAACTACATTAATATATGTTCACAACCACCATATAAAATCATTGTCACTCGAAGAAGAAGAAGAAAGAGGGGGATGGGGAGAAAGAGGCCTAAAGTTGTTTTAAAAGTAGGTACAAATTAAAATTTTTTTTAAAAAGTGGGTATAGGTTAAATGGAGACGACCAAATAGGGCGCCCCGTGTAATTTTTACAAATATATTAATGCTCTTTTGGCCCCACAAATACACACTGAGTTCTGCTGGACATGCGAACTAATATTGTTAGATCTGTCATTGTGCACGTGCCTTTTAGAAAGCTAGTTAGTACAGGATCCCTGATCTTTTGGCCCTAAAAATATACACACTAAATTATGTTGGACGTGCAAACTCATTGTTGTATCCATCATTGGACATCTGCCTTTTAAAAATCTAGTTTGTACAACATTCATCCTCTTTTGGCCCTAAAACGGAAAAGGTCCAATAATATCCTTAAACTATTGGAAATAGCTCACTTCTGCCCTCCGTTAGCTAACTGAGCAAACAAAATACCCCACGTTAATTTTCTGTGCCAATAATGCCTTCATTCTAACTGCTGCCCACATAAGCCTTCTTAGTGGCATTAATTAGCTGACATGGCAATCCACATAGGTGGATCCCCTTCTTATATACTGTGTTCTTATATCAATAGTCACTAATTCCCAAAAGCCTAATTGTCATTGTTCCCCAATTTTAAAAATCTCCATTTTTCTTTGAAAATTTCTACTCAATGTTTGATTTATCCGTGAATACGCATGAAATTCAATATGCAAGAAGGTGTCGTTGCGGATTGATTGTATTATATTTGACATCTTGGTCAGACGTCAATGTTGGGAGAAGGTTCTAAAATGTCCAAGATCCAAAGTTAGTTTTGAATTTATTTCGTTTTTGGTCAATTTATTTGACTCATCTTCTTTTGTCAGGTTAGGTTATGATTTGCAGAGTTTTTATTTGAGATGGTCCTTGGTTATTAGTGTTTATGTAGAAAAAATGACTATTTTTCACTGAAAATTCTAATACGATATAGGTTTGTTCTTACGGGTATTTTGAATGGATTGACGAAGAGTTCCCTCTTCAAGCGGTGATGGTGATCAAAGATTTAAAAACTAAACTTGATGCTGCTAAGGTTGAGACGAACAATTTGAGGAATAAAGTTTATGATATGGAACAAGCTACTATGGTTCAAAGGGGTCCTATGAAGATGAAATTTGAGGAATTGGAGGATGCTATTAAAGACAAAAGAGACAACTCTAAGAACTTATTTGATGAAATGGAAGATGTTATCACGGTTGAAAGGAATAATTTGAAGATGAAACTTGACGAAATGGAGCAATTTAAACTTGTGAAAATTGAAAAAGCTAGTAATTTAGAGGCCAAAGTGAAGAAGATGAGAACTATCATTTTAGTTTCATGGGCTTTGTTATTTGGTTTGGTTGTCGTAGGGATGATGAAGTAAATGTATATTGTTTTAGAATATTGTTGTAGTATTTTGGTTTAGTTATAAGAATGATGAAGTGAATGTATGTTGGATTAGTATGTTGTTGTAGTATTTTGGTTTTGTTATAGTAGCTTTGTTTAGTACTTGGTTGCTTCCTTGTGATTCGAAGCTTCAAGTTTTGATTTTTGCATTCATATTCAAGTAATAGAGGGAGATGAAATTTTTGATGTGCATTTTGTATACAGTAGCAATGGATCTGTAGTATTGAGTGTTACTTATATTCAAATCTAATTGTTATGATTTAATGTATTGATAGTCCGATTGGTGTATTTTGGACAGAGTATGTTTGGTAACTTGTGAACCTTTACTGTTGCAATTTCTTGATGGGAAGTTTGCCATGTTTTGGCTATAGTTACTATGTATCCTAGTGCTTTTGGCCAGTACAAGGGGTGTGAATCTTGAATTTATTAAGTGGTCCACATTTTCTTACCATAAGTGTGAATCTTGCATTTGGCTGGTGCTTTCCTACGCTAAATTATACTGCACAACCAACTAAAGTAAGTGAGAATTAAATTTCAAGTTTAATTAACATAGTATTGCACAACCAACTAGTGCTTTCCTACGCTACTGAATGGGCATCCAAACTAAGTCTGCTGCAATAACATCGTCACATCAGTGATGTTTGTTTTCATTAACCATAGCAATATTAGTTTCCTGAACAATAAATATAAAATGATTACACCAGAATCATAGGCGGATCTAAAATTTAAACCTTATGGGTTCAACTTTTAAATTTTTTAGCATTGAACCCATTATATTTTTAAAGTTATGGGTTCGTATTTACTATTTTTGCAATTTAATAAATTTTTACATATAAATTTTTACTCCGCGTCGAAAGTTATGGGTTCAATTGAATCCGCCAAGTATATACTACATCCGCCCTTGAGTCCAGAATGATCACATGACTGAACACCACTGCATATTAAACACTACTGTTGGGCAAACTAAACTATTGTCATATTAAACACCACTGTCGTGCAAACTAAATTGTTGTCATATTAAACACACATTAAACAAGTCTTTTCCAGAACTGTTGACATAAAGTAAACTATTTTCATATGGTTTTATAACTACTAAAACCAAAACATTTTAACTGATATCATATAGTTTGCAACAACGAACACCAAAACAAATTAAACAAGTCTTGACATAACACATTAATTGATAAAAACCAATATTTTAATTTCCAACAACCAAGATAAACTGACCAGTTTTGGTTGTTGGAAATAGATAATTGCCAACAAAGTTAAAGACCTGCAACTACCTACAACAACCAAGATCACTAGATTTGTGAGTTCCCATTGAGTTTCCTGCTCTTCAACTTCCCCACTTTCTTTTGTCTTGCTACTTCCAATTGATTTTCAGTCACTGCTTCTTTATGATCTTAGTAGGTGAGTAAGGAAGATCTGCGGGATAATTGACACTAGTATGATCTCCTCTGAAAGAGATCACTCTTGTCCCAGCTGACATCAATTGATTCTGCCTTATCAACAATCTTGTTTGATCTTCAGAAATAATCTTAAACATTAAAGCAGGGTCACTTTCATGCTCACTACCATCACCAAAAGGTTCTGTTTGGTGTCTTGGTACTCTAGGTGTAGGCATGAATACAAATTCCTCAACATTTCCTTCAACACCAACCTATAATTAAAAAGAAAAACTTTCTGTTAAAGAACTACAAATGTTGTATGTCATTCTAAGAAGAAGGTACCTTGCATGTCCTTGAATTGTAGTCCAGTTCACCACAAATGTTGTATGTCATTCTAGTTCCCCTTCTTGATTCAACCCACTCTCCTTGTCTCTTGTTAGCCTCATCCTTCTCCCTATTCCTCTTGATTTTTGGCCTTCTAATAATTTTGGCAAGTGGAGGTGGTTCCATAGTATGTCCTGGTAATACTTTCCAGAACTTTTCACCTCTAACATGCATCAACTTGGCCCTATATGTCGTCATGTAAGCTTCCTTATTGCATCACCAACTAATTTCAGTCATTGGATCCTCTCTTTTGTATTTTAGTGCCCTGATGGCATGGGGGCATGGGATACCAGTCAACTGCCAGGATCTACAAGTGCATTTCTTCTCCACTAGATTCACTCTATGTCTATCATCACCTTAAAAAATCTCATAGCCAGTTTCACCATTGAATTGAACAGTACATAAGTTGGCAACCTTCAAATACGCAGTATACAACTTCATTCAGTTTGGACTGAACTCATCTCCCCATGTTCTAGATTCTTCTTACTTCTCTCTCAATCTGTCCATGATCTTGATTTTAATAGCCTCAAGATTCTTTAGGATAGGCTTGCCTCTTGCTTCTAAGATCCAAGAATTGAAGGACTCTGTAAAATTATTGTCCACCATCTGATTTTTGCACAATATATCAATATATGACATGCACCAATTCTGTGGTGGATGTCTTAGCAACTCCTTAGCAGCATCAACAGACAATTTACCAAGATTTTTTAATCGATCTTTAAATTCCTCCTCATAAGTGCTCCAAGCAGACCACCATAGGTATTTCTTCATCTCTCTAGAAATTCTGATCCTCTTACTCTATTTGGCTTCAATATGCCTAACACAAAACTTGTGATTTGAGAGAGGGAGGACAGTTCTTGCTGTTTCCAATAGACCCTGGCGCATGAAAATTTAAACAGAATTAGGATTAAAATAATTGGAATAATCAATTAAACAAAATCATAACTTGTACTTGCATATAAGACATAAAGGCAATACAGGTTCCAATTTTCAGATTCAGTGAGTATTTCAGCAACTCCAGAAACCATGTCCATGTCAAGGTATTTTTCTTGTCAACTACAGCCCAGGCCAAGGGATAGAAATGATTCATGCAATCTTATGCAACATCCACCAATAGTTGTCCCTTGCAATGACCCTTTAAAAAAGTTACATCTAATCCAATGAATGGTCTCAACCCTCGTTTGAACCCCAACTTCATTGCATTGAAGCATATGTACATTCTAAGAAATCTTCGTTTACCTTCAGCCATGACATCTTTTGATAAATTGATAACCACATCACTACCAGGATTGCTCTCTCTAATCTCATTTGCATATGCTTCTAATCTGTTATAGTCATCTAAAAAGCTTCCTTGCAATTGCCGAAGTGCCATCCTCTTAGCCCTTTTCAATGTGGAGTTATGTACATTTAATGAAAATTAATTTGTCAAATCTAGTTTCATATCCTTTATCTTATACTTGGGGTTATTCTGCACCTTACTCTTGAAATATTGAGCTAAAGTTTTTGTTTTGTCTCTAGGATTCTCAATTGCATCTTCATAGTTATGCTTTGTCTTCAATGTATTTATCTTAAAGTCAGGACCCTTCTTATCTTCAGAGATGAGGCATACAAAAGGGCAACCTACTACACATCTATATTTTACTCTTATTATATCACTTTTTTCTAAGATTCAGAGGTTTGTAATTTGCAATAGCATAGAAGTTCATGACTTTTCTGGCCTCATCCAAGTCCTTAAATGTCATAGACTTATCAAGCTCTTTATAGTGAGTAAGCTTATCATTAACTTCTTTACCCTTTTGCATCCTAAGTAACTCTAATTCTTCAGAATCCTATTCACTAGTATCTGAACCTTAATTTGAGTTTTTATCACTATCAGATTCACAATCAGTACCTAAATCACATTGATATTGACTTGAAATTGGCTTTTCATGGTCCACCATATTGAAATATCTATAATATAGATACAGAAGAAAACATAGAGGGACCACATGAATAATTTAAGAACTTTGACAATAAAATATTGAACATACAATAAACTAATGCATATAATATAGTAGAAATAATAAAGCACACTCTTTAAGAGATAAATCACATGTTTCTATCGATTTCAACAACCTAATCTTACCACAATAAATTACTCCATATAATACAATGGAAAGCAAAAAGCATTGTCTTTAAGAGATAAAGCATATGGTTTTGTGATTTCAACAATCCAACCCTACCACACCATGATAAAATATGTGGACCTAGGGCATAAATTAACACCACATAAGGAAATAACAAAGATAACCAACAAAAAGAGTATCAGACCCACATGCAAAAACTATATGCTAAGCTTCAGAATCAGAAATACCAATACAAAACCCTAGAAAATTACAAAACATAATTGACTAATCCATTTGTTTGAGTCAGAGACCCATTAAATGGGAGGAAAAATTACCTAAATAGCTTCAGATGATCTTTAATTTGTGTTGTTAACCCTTGCTCGATGGTATCATCCCCTCAAGTCTCAAATCGCCTTTGTTGAAAGAACTAGGTTTAGAATGGGATTTGGAGTTTTTTACAGGCCTTTTCCGTTTTTTAATCCCTATATGGATTGTAATTAGTTTTTTATGGGTTAATGGGTTATTGGAGGAGGCCTATGCCATGTTAGCTAATTAATGCCACTAAGAAGGCTTATGTGGGCAGCCGTTAGAATGAAGGCATTACTAGCCCAGAAAATTAACGTGTGGGATTTTGTTGGCCCAGTTTGCTAACGGAGGACAGAAGTGAGTTATTTCCAATAGTTTAAGGATATTATTGGACCTTTTCGGCCCTAGAAATACACACACTAAATTCTGCTAGACCTGCAAACCTATTGTTGGATTCGTCACTAGGCATCTACCTTTTAAAAAGCTAGTTTATACAACATTCATACTCTTTTGCCCCTATAAATACAAATACTGAATTTTGCTGGACCTGCAAACTCATTGTTGGATTTGCCATTGTGCATCTGTCTTCAGAAAGCTAGTTTGTACAGCATCCATGTTCTTTTGGCCCAAGAAATATACACATTGAGGTCTGCTTGCGAACTCATTGTTGGATTCGTCATTGGACCTCTACCTTTTTAGAAAGCTAGTTTATACAACATTCTTGCTCTTTCGCCACTATAAATACCCATACTGAATTCTGTTGATACCTGCAAACTTATTGTTGGATATGTCACTGTGTATCTGCCATTTAGAAAGCTAGTTTGTACAACATCCATGCTATTGCCTTACAAATACCCATACACAGGGGAATACATAGGAATCTTTGTTAGCGGTGTCATAATTTATAGAAGAATAAGAATAAATAAATATAATTATCATATTTCTAGACAAGAAATAGTCGTAGTCCATTGGTTTCATTGAGTCTTAAGTTAGAAAAGTTTCTGAGTTAATTATGCGTAATCACAATTTTTAACCACATATGATCTTTTAAATATTTGCCAAAAATACATGCTAGTTGAGGTTTGAACCTCTGATCACTTGCAAAATCAGGCACATAACCAACACATCAGGAGACAATTTATGTCAAGTGATGTCATTTTTTTCTATTTATTGGTTTTCTCATAGTATTAATACATATTCAGTAAAATTTTCCGACAATCCGGTGTCACGTGACACCGCTTCCTTATAAGTATGTCCGCCCCTGCCCACACATACAACAACAACAACAACAACAATAACAACATACTCAGTGTGCTTTTATGATTAGGGATTGGAAAGGGTGTGATGTATGAAGACCTTACCCCTAACTTATGTGAGGTAGAAACATTATTTATGTCTTTATGATAGTCCTCGATGTACAAATATACACACATGCACATAATTTTTGAATACAATCAAGTACTCTCTTTTAAGCAATGGCATAAGTGCATGCTTGAGGGGGTCATACATACACTAAGAATCTAAGATTAATTTTTGTAGCACAACCAAAGCCATGCCACATTACATGCACTATAGCACGTTTGCTGTTTGTTTATTATAGCAATGAACGCAGGCTCCTAGCATGCCCAAGGCCAAGTGCATCATTGTTATCACAACAACAAAAGGAACCAATTGTTTTAAGTTTTGTCCCTTTCCAAATCTTAATTCTCAATGTTGGTTTTAATCATTTGGTTTATTCCCATTCTCACTTACTCAACACTTTTTTTCCTTCCATGAGTTTTATTGGTTGATAAAATGTTAGGGATTAGCATACATTTTACTAATAATTGGGTTCAAAATCATGTACTTGTATATATTTGCTATTTGTTTTTTAACATATACTGAGTGTAGTCATGTAGATAAAGCCACCTGTAGTCATGCAGATAAAGCCACCGAGTCTCCGTTAATTCATTGGTTACACTCTAGATTTACCTCTGCCTCGCTCACTTGGAAAGACCAAAAATCAGAGACGGAGTCAGAATTTCAACTTAAATTCTTAAGGAGTTTTGAATTTTAGAGTAACGAGTTCAAACGAAAATAATTAGATTTTCAATATATTTATATATTTTTAATGAATTTCTTACTACAAATACTAAAATACATTATTTGAATAAAAGGTATTGGATTCGATCAAACCCGTATTTTTTGCTTCTACTTCCGCCTCCGGAGCTAAGGTGTCTATATGTAAAACAATTAATTTTCTAAGTTGACATTGATTGTCGGTATGGTGAATATAGCTCAGTACTTTCTACTGTGATTTAAAATTACTATGAATTTTGAAGATTGCAAATTTCAACTGAGGCTATAAAATAAGTTGGCTATACCACTGCTGATGTGGTGGATGTACGTAATAATACTCTATATGTAATAGTTTGAATTCTGAATATATTTTTATGTTAGTGGTTCTCATGAATTTTGAAGAATATTTAAAGTTTACTGAGGTATTGTGTTGACAATTATTAGAAAAAGGACATTGACATTAAGAATTATACCTTGATTGTGATGATGATTAAGAACACTTAGCTTGCACTTTAATTGTCACTAAAACATGTCCCCCTCAGAAACTGCATTTTCTATTCAATGATTGGGTGATTGACCAAGGCGTATACAAGATTTAACTACGACGGGTCGACCTTTAAATTCTTATCCCTCAGCCCGATAAACTTCTAAATATGAATTCAAAATTTAATATTTTTGAAATTTTAGTATTTTTCACGTACACACGTTCACTCATAAAATTTTAACTTTGTTTTCTTGTCGAAATGCAACTTTAACTTTCAAATACCCCTTTTCAACTTTAACTAATAAAGCAGCTTATTTGGCCAAGTTTTTTTTTGGCAAAAAAATACTTTTATTTTAAAGTTAAAGTATTTGCCAAACTTTTTGACAGAAAAAAATGTTTTTGAGTAATAACAAGAACTGTTTTTGAGAAGTTAAAAAAGTAATTTTCCGTAGAAGTACTTATTAAAAGCTTGGTCAAACACTGATTGATGCTCAAAAATATTTTTTAAATTAATTAACCAAACACAAACTCTCTACCCCAAAAGTACTTACTTGAATAGCGACCAAACAGACTATCAAATACATACTTTTTTCTACTCTCAACTAAAACATGTCCAAGACCCAGCTAAATCCTTAAAATCCTTTTA